TCTCTATAGACTTTACCTCCAGATTTTATTTCACTGGTCATAATTACACAAGAGGTGCCCATCTGCAAATTATAATGGCTGCCATTTTATTTCAAGGGTATATCTAAGCCACAAAATTGAATTCAAGGAGTATCTTCGTAGCCTTTATTAGTGTAGCAAATTTAATCAAAGTCCATCAAAGGTTATAATGCAATATCCAGAAACATGAAATACCAAGTAGCTAATTAGAAACAACTACCTCATTTTTGGCATGATTATGTACAGCCTTCATTTATGAAGAAACATAACCTCTGTTAGAAAAGTCTGACCCTCTGGTTAGAAAAGTCTGCACTTCCAACTGTTCTATCCAGCAGTCCTGATGGATCTGAGTTCAGTCCCCCATACGACTGACTAAAGGTCCAGCAGCCTTGCCAATGTAGCCTGTGAACTCCAAGAAGCATATGTATAACTTCAGTACCACCCCAGGCATGATATACAGTAGGAACTCAAAATACCCTTGGGGTGGACCTGGCGGTGGCTCATGCCTATAGTCCAAGCACTTTGGGAGGCCAAAGCAGGAGGGTCGCTTGACGCCAGGAGTTCAAGACCAGCCTGAGCAACATCATAAGACCTTGCCTCTATTAAAAATAAAGAAAAACTGGCCTGGTATGGGAGCACGTGCCTGTAGTCGCCAGCTACTAGGGAGGCTGAGGTGGGAGGATCGATTGAGTCTACCAGGTTAAGGGTGCAGCAAGCTGTGATAACACCACTGCACTCCAGCCTGGGCAACGGAGTGAGACCCCATGTCAAAAATAAATATGCTTGGGAAATCAGTTTCCTAAAGAGAAGCAGAAAGCATGGTTTTGAAGAGCACAGCTTCAAGTCAGACCAGTTCGGATGGCAATTTTGCTGCTTCTGATGACTAGCTGGGTGTAATCTCAGCAAAGTACTTTATTTCTCTGAGCCCATTTGACATGTATACAGGAGGTAAGAAGACCTACTTCATAGAGCTGTTGTGAGAATACACATGTATTCATGCAAATAAATTACTTGTCACAGTGTCTGGCATTCAGTACGGCTCAATAGATGGAGTATTATAATTATTACAGAGAAGACTGCCCAAAAGAGAGACCACACCCAAAACTTGACCCTGATTAGGATTATCTCAAACACAAACGTTTCTAAGAGCTTAATTCAAAGTATTGACAATCAATTTCAAATACCTGAATGGGCTAGTTCCTTTTAACCTAATAAATAACTTTCTATTAATTCCCAAACCTGAAATGTTTAAATGTTATCAGTCTCTAGGTAGAAGGTCCTTACCCTCAGCTTTCACACCCACCGACAGAATTGCACCCAAGCTTGTATCTCAGTGTGAAGAAATGTACAAACTTGAATGAGAAATGAGGCCAGATCTTTGATTAATTCAGTAATCCATGTACTGCTCTACACACATAAAAAAAAATTCTAAAAACGATCAAAACCTAAAATCTGAACACTAAAATTGTGCGTCACCAACAAAAGATTTCTAACGTCGAGCTTGAGATTGAAAGTAAATTAGAAAAACCTCCAAACAGAAAGTTTAAATGTAGTCTTTTAATTGCATTATTGTCCTAAGTTGAAATGTAGTCCAACTGATGCCATGATCAGATAATAAAGAATCTGTGAGATTCTATCTCCTCCTTTATCAAGAAATTTGATGTTGCCAAATTATTTGATGTTGGGAAAAAAAAAAAAACTTTAAAATCTAAAATTACCCAATTCTAAGCAAATAGCTTTTTCTACTTAGAAAGCAACTTAATACTTCAAATTGTGCTATTCTTGTACCAAAGTTAAGGGTTATCTAAAAGATTTCCCTCACGTTTTAGATCTATGCATGTGAATTAATTTATTCCTAAATGCCTCATTATTATTTGACATCAACTTATTACATGAAAAAGTCATATCCCCACAGTAACTGCCAAAAATCAGGTACTGTGTTAGAATACCTTCTAATATCTAGAGGAAATAAAGATCACCAGTTATCAAAACGGCAGGGGACAGAATGTGAAATTTTAACAGACATGTTGAAGAAAACCTATTTTCCTTGCTCTCTTTACAAATTTCTCACAGCCAATTTCTCAGATAAAGCTAAATTTTCTTTTACAAAGTAAATTGAAATGAAAATCATAATGAAAGGTTAACTTTCTGCAAGAGAAGCCACTGTCATTTCCAACAATGCAGCTATTGTTAAGAGTCTCTCATAGATTCCTGGACACCCGTGGTGAAACAAGGCTAGGGGTGATACTTAAAGGAATTTCTCCACCTCTGTCTTTCAGTTTGTAATGTAACAATACTGTACCTTCAAAGTAGAAACATCATGTAAAATCTGGTTCCCCTTAACTGAAACTGCCTTAACCCCAAGCAGCATATTTGCAACCGAATACATCTGATTCGCAGTCAACCTTCTATTACCCATCTATGCGAGATGGCCCTGCGATTTCTTTCAATGGGAGCCTTTCCTTTTAAAACCCCAGGGGACACAATAGATGCCACACTCTGATTTAAATAATTCCAAGAAAATTACAATATAAACAAAAGCAGACTTAGGGAACTTGCATAAGTAAAAATCAAAAAACCTAAGAAAAAGGGGTAAAAAAATACCAACCACAAACCCCTAAATCATGAATAAATTTTAAGACTGAGCCAGGAAAAAAGGAATACTCTCTGGACAAAGAATTCTATTTCAAATTTTTTAAAAAATATATCAGATTTTGCTTTTAAAAAATTTAGGCTTAGGAAATACGCTAAACAACAAAACTGGAATACTCAACTGTTTGATATATATACATATAGCAAATTAATCGCTGCATTGACTGTGTTAAAAAGGCAAGACAATTCAAAGAGATTTGATACCCTCTCCAACTGAGGAACCCCCAACTACTCTGAAATGGCAGATTATTTAACACTCTTGGAATGGTTAACTTTATTTAGAATGCCTCTTTTGGAGTTCTATTATTTAATTCAGCCAAACGGAATTTTTCCCTAATTAGGTTTCCTTGTACTTGTGAAATGCTCACCATACAGTGCTGGCAGCATTAGCTCTACAGCTTCTCTCTTCTGGCTCCTTCCCCCGTCACCCACCCTCACCTCCCCCCCCCACCCCCGCCCCGAAAAAAAGATTTCCTTCCCAAATGTTCTCTTCTCTGCATTTGTCAACAGAAACACCTACTGGTGGTGTCAAACTGCTAAGACTGCTGCAGGCTTCCTTATTCCTGGTTTCAGTGTCAACGCCAAAAATTCTCAATCCTAAAATAGTACTTTTAATAAAAAGAAATTAAAAGTCTTGCTAGGTACTCAACCTATCATATTCTCGAAAAGCAGCATGCCTTTTTAAAAAATCTATTATTAATGGACCCTAATTGGACTGTTAATCATAAGATCATACTATCCCCTTCAACACTAAGATACAGAAACAAGTAAATATAGCCTCTTCACATTTTGTGAATAACACATTTTAAAACACTTAAAGGGAATAAAAACAAATTTACATCTAAGCGTCACTCACATGTAATTCCGAATAGCCTCGGTGAAGATGTCTTTTTTGTAACCCTACACCAAGAAAGAAACAAGCTGGAAATGTTCCAGCAGATGTTACCTAAAATGATAATCCTGTTCTATACACATCTCTGTCTCCTGTTTCAGACAAACGCTCTCAGACAAATTAATTTGTCTAATCTTTTACATTTAACTATATAACCATTGCGTTCAAACAAACCTAATTCAGATGCACAGAAATAAATCATTCGGTGTCAACAATACTTTCTAAAATCAGCTTAAATTCCAGCCAATTAAAATAGATTATGCTAACAGAATACTGATCTGCAACTACTTAAATATCACAGCACCCGTCTAATCTCACTGTAGAGATACTAAGGTCAGGCTTTTCTTATTCAGGCATCTGTGCTTTAACACTCAAGTGAAGCGAAAAACAAAACCCTCAAGGAAGATCTGCCTTTACACTGAAATATGTTCAGGTTATTTTTTCCCACAACGTGGGCACAAAACGTGTCAATGCAAGGAGGACCTGTTCGTTCTGGGAGACGGTTCCAAACCCCAGAACCCGATTTCTATGAGGGTCCAAAGGGTATCAAGGTCTGAGAAGGGGCCATTCTTCTTCCCCGCACTATGCCAGTCGTGAACTTCACAGCATCGCCTGAAACTTGTTCGGGGGAGGTTGCGGAGCCGTGGGGCCAGCGGCGGGTCGCTCGCCCACCCTCCCGGGCAGCCAAGGTCAGAAGGGCCAGAGCCGCGACTGGAGTCTCGGGCTCCCTCCGAACTCGGGCAGGGGGCTCGGGCGCGCAGGCCCCTCCTCGGCGCCGGCGGGAAGGGGCTTCCCTCGCCGCAAGCCCCGGGGAGCTCTTGCCGCGGGAGCGGCGGGGCGGGGACGCCGCAGACCCGCCGCTGAGGGGAGCCCCGCGGGGCGGGCTCGACCCATCGCCCCTCTTTCACACCCTTTCGCCTCCCCACACCCCAAAAGGCAGCCCCAGCCCCTCGGAGGAAGCCCTTCCAGAGGCGCAGGGGAGCGCTGAGGAGGGGCTACTCCGGGCTGGGACGCCCTCACCGCGTCGCCCCGTTCCGGGGGGACCGGCGCCGCCGCCCCTTCTCTCGTCCGCCCGGGGGGACCGGGTGGGTCCCCACTCTCAGGAGAAGCTGGGTGAACGCGGGGCCGATGTAAGGGCAAGAGGGCTTGGCGGGCGGGTGGTGGCGCGACTACTCACCCCGCCGAGTCCCCCACTTCTAGCAGGGGACCCCACAGCTCCTGAGGACGCCGTCGCCGCTTTACCTTCCCCAGCGGCAGAGACAACTAATCGAAACCTCCGGCCCCGCCCTCTAGCAGAAGCGAACGCGCAGCCTAATTTGCTAACTGCCCCGCCCCAGCCGGCCCGTTCTGACCAATGGAAAAGCGCCTCAGGTTCTGCCCGATCCCGCCTTTACCCCGCCCCCTTCTGGTAGGAGCCAATGAGAAGGAAGCGCTTGTCTTGGGGTTCGGGCTCGCGCCGCTCGTGCTCGAGTCTCCGAAGCCGAAGAACGCTGGTTCCTTATACAAGCTCGCCTGCGCGCTCACGCGCGCGCCGCGCCTCCTGGCACGCCAGGTTTGGTTGCCCCGCCAAGCCCTAGCAACCTGGGCTGGAGAGGCTGAGAGGGGCGGGGCCCGAGCCTGGAGCTGACGCCGGGGGGAGCGCGAGGAAGGAGGGAGAGGGTCGACGGTGGTGGGGTGGGGAGATCGTGACTGAGAAAGGGGTGACTGCGGGGGTAGGGGGTGGCGAGGAGGCCCCGGAATCCGCCTGTCACTGCGGAAAAAAGGGGGAATCCTGCCTACAGCGCAGCTATCCTGCCCTCCCTCCGGAGGGACCCGTGCCGGGGGCTTTGGTGGGGGAAGTCGGGGAAGAGGGGGAGAGCACACTCGGGGCGGGAGCTGAGAAATACAGGATGGAGGATGGTTTATCTCTGTTGTTGGTAAAAATGATATCGAAGTCCATTGCTGCTGCTGCCCAACTGTTGCCGCTGCGTGTGCACACACACACGCCCGTATGCACACACATAACACACACTCACACGTACACTCATCCAGCAGCTTGCTGTCCCTTGGGTGAGTTAGGCGCAAAGACCTAGCAGCCTGAGGATTCCTTACACAGCAGCCAAGCGCGTGCAAAGAGCTGTCGCAGCAGTAGCAGCAGCAGCAGCAGCAGCAGCAACGACCCACACCTCCGCTTCGGTCCGATGCTCTGCCACACAAGATCCCCCCAGCTGGCTTGAAAGCAATGAAGTCATCGCCCAACCAGTAGAAATGTAAAGATCTTAATACCCACCATGGATCGGGTTTCCACGGAGGATGAAGAAGTGATGAAATGGAAGGAGATAACATCTCCAATGCTACTTTTAGAAAATAAAGAAAATAATTTTTAAAAAGACATTGGGGACAAATCTATGGAAAGCTGCATAATAATTTTCACTTTAACAAGCAAAGGCGAAAAATAGGGTCTCTTCTAGTTAGGAAAAGCATGGAAAATAGGCAGTGTATGAGGTCATAGCAGTCACCAAATTAGAAAGATGCAGTACTGTAATAGGAAATAGATATTTTGGATAAAATCCACTTAATCTATTCCTGTAGTGAATCTGGTAACAATATGTAGCAGCATGCTCAGTTTGGCCACTTGATACCAAGCCAATAGGATTTTCTTTTTCATAACGGTGAATATTTGATGAGGAAATGAAAGTGGAAGCATATTAGAAAATTTTACAGGTAGGAGCAATGAATTAGCAGTGAGGGAAAATGGAGTCAGAGGCAACAACAGAGGACTTCACAGAGTCTCCTTCCTCCTCTAGATGCAAAGTAACAGTGCTGTGACCTCCAGCTTCACCCACGTGGATCCAGAACTCCTGGGGCAATCACTCCATTTTCATCCCTGTATATCAGAGACTATGTACTAGGAATTTCAGCAGCATTACCTTTGACTCAAATGAATAATTTTTAAATTTTTCTTTAGACCTGGTGAACCAGAAGTAATGAATTAATTATCCGTATAGATTCATAGGATGGAGAAAAAACAATAACTTAACATCTGTTAATATAGGTCCAATTTAGTATTAAGTAGTAATATTAGATGCCTTATAATGTGCCATCCCATATATACAAATATGACCTTCTGCTTAGGGACATTTGCTTTGATCTGGTTTTCAGTAGTGGTAAAGGATTTCTTGCAGTCACACGCAGTTTAGTTAATTCCTCTTTTGGTCAAAAACTAACCTTTCTAGAAAGTTAGTAAAAGTTTAAAAAGTACCATGTGCCGGGAGTGGTGGCTCATGCCTGTAATCCCAGCACTTTCGGAGGCCAAGGCGGGTGGATCACCTGAGGTTAGAAATTTGAGACCAGCCTGGCCAACATGGTGAAACTCCCATCTCTACTAAAAATACAAAAAAATTAGCTGGGAGTGGTGGCACGCACCTGTAGTCCCACCGACTCGGGAGGCTGAGGCGGGAGAATCGCTTGAACCTGGGAGGTCAAGGTTGTAGTCAATCGAATGGTACCACTGCACTCCAATCTGGGCTACAGAGTAAGACTCTGTCTCCAAAAAAAAAAAAAAAAAAAAAAAAAAAAAGTACCGTGCTGCCATTTAACTGAGCTCTTATGTAGAAAGAACACTAGGCCGGGCGCGGTGGCTCAAGCCTGTAATCCCAGCACTTCGGGAGGCCGAGACGGGCGGATCACAAGGTCAAGAGATCGAGACCATCCTGGCTAACACGGTGAAACCCCGTCTCTACTAAAAAAAAATACAAAAAACTAGCCGGGCGAGGTGGCGGGCGCCTGTAGTCCCAGCTACTCGGGAGGCTGAGGCAGGAGAATGGCGTGAACCCAGGAGGCGGAGCTTGCAGTGAGCTGAGATCTGGCCACTGCACTCCAGCCCGGGCGACAGAGCGAGACTCCGTCTCAAAAAAAAAAAAAAAAACAAAAAAAAAAAACAGAAAGAACACTAATACTAACCAGCGAATGGATACCTGCTATGTGCGAAGAACTTCACGTAGATTTAGGGTCGCCAGGTAAAATGCAAGATGCCACGTTAAATTTGAATTTCAGATAAACAACGAATAATTTTTAGTGTAAGTATGTATTTTTATCCTGGATACATGTGGGACAAGGCTAGAAAACTAAATCAGGTTCTAACCATTGCCAAAAAAATTACAAAATGCCCTTCTAGGTCTAGACCTTGTAATGCAATCAGGATCTGGGAGAAAAGCTTACGAACCAAATTAATGTATAAATTTGTAGTGTTTGTAGAAAGAGGTGAGCATACTTAGACTAAAACATTATTTGCTGTTTATCTCAAATTCAATTTTAACTGAGCATCTTCGATTTTTATTTGCTAAATCTGGCACCCTACATACATTATCTCTAATCCTCTCAATTCTCTGTGAAATTCTCACCATTTTCCAGATGAAGAAACAGCTTCAGAACCTACCCAGCATCAATTTGCTTTTTTGCCCTTCTAATAGAACCCCAACTCCGTCGAAAGAAAGATGTAAGACATTTTTATCCTCAATATATGTGGGACAAGTCTACTTCTAGCATTCTATTCATTGTCAAAAAAACATTTATGAAGTATCCATCTTGGCCTAGACCTCATAATGCAATCAGGGTCTGGTAGAAAAGCTTAAGAATCCAACCAACACATAATTTGTCTTGCTTTGTCGCCCAGGCTGGAGTGCAGTGGCATGATCTCGGCTCACTACAACCTCTGCCTCCTGGGTTTAAGTGATTATCCTGCCTCAGACCCCCGAGTAGCTGGGATTACAGGCGCACGCCACCACACTCTGCTAATTTCTGTATTTTTAGTAGAGACAGGGTTTCACCATGTTGGCCAGGCTGGTTTCGAACTCCTGGCCTCAAGTGGTCCGCCTGCCTCAGCCTCCCAAAGTGCTGGGATTATAGGCGTGAGCCGCGGTGCCTGGCTCAGCACATAAATTTATAGTGTTTGCAGGAAGAGGTGAGCATTAGTTATTCCTTGGCCCTGCTCAGAGCTTAAATCAAACTGTCAGATCTTACATGTTTTCATTTAAAGTTTATACCATTTGGAAAATTTTCATTTTAAAAATTTGAATCCAATTCCTCATTTGAAACAAAACCTCTATCTTTGTCCTCCAGACACTGAGTTTAACCAGGAACAGTGTGGAAAGAACAGAAATGTCAGCCTTAACACTTTAACCAATTTTCTTCTGTATCTTGAGCAAACCTTCAATTGCAATCATATCTTTTAAAAAATGTTCAGGACATTTTCTCCCTAACCAAATAAGCTGTATCTCTGTGATGGTGATTATGACCTATCACAGTCATAGACAGTGAAAGTTGGCAAGGGAGCTATAAATAGTAATTAAATCCTAATATCTTGCAGGAGTTTGGTAGCAGGAATTAAAAACATTTTTATGTGTTCTTTTTTTTTTTTTTTTTGAGACGGAGTCTCGCTCTGTCGCCCAGGCTGGAGTGCAGTGGCGCGATCTCGGCTCACTGCAAGCTCCGCCTCCCAGGTTCACGCCATTCTCCTGCCTCAGCCTCCCGAGTAGCTGGGACTACAGGCGCCCACAACCGCGCCTGGCTAATTTTTTGTATTTTTAGTAGAGACGGGATTTCACCGTGGTCTCGATCTCCTGACCTTGTGATCCGCCCGCCTCGGCCTCCCAAAGTGCTGGGATTACAGGCGTGAGCCACCGTGCCCGGCCCATTTTTATGTGTTCTATGTTAAAAACAAAAAAAAAGAAAAGAAGGAAGGTAGGAAGGAAAAGGAGAAAAGAAAGGAAAGAAAGAAGGGAAGGAAGGAAATGTCTGTTTCAAAAGACCCAAGAAAGAAAACCACACCAGAGAAGAATGCCATAGGAAAGGGGTTTGTTGCCGGGGCAGTGTAGCTTAGTGACTAAAACTATAGACTCGGGCGTCAGACGGCCCGGGCTCAAATGCTAGCTCTAGTTATGTCCTTTGGCAAATTGCTCAACTTCTCTGTGCCTCAGTTTCTTCCTCTGTAAAAATGGAGATGAAGCCAGGCGCGGTGACTCATGCCTGTAATCCCAGCACTTTGGAAGGCCAAGGTGGGTGGATCACTTGAGGTCTGGAGTTCCAGACCAGCCTGGCCAACACAGTGAAACCCGTCTCTACTACAAATACAAAAATTAGCTGGGTGTGGTGGTGAGTGTCTGTAATCCCAGCTACTTGGGAGGCTGAGGCAGGAGAATTGCTTGAACCTGGGAGGCAGAGATTGCAGCGAGCCTGAGATTGCACCACTGCACTCCAGCCTGGGCAAAAGAGTGAGACTCCATCTCAAAAAAAATTGGAGATGATGATGATAATAGTGGTTACTTCATAGGTTTAGGTGAGTGACTATTTGTGAAACATTTAGAAGAGTATCAGACCCATAGTAAGGACTTTATAAAGATTAGGTGTTACTGAGCAGGCTCAATTCCATGGGGTATAAATGAAGTGGTTTATTTCTCTCCGATCACTACTTTGAAACATGTTTTGTGGTAAATTTACCTTTCATGTCCCTTCATATCTTGGATACTTTTTTTGACATTTAGATGTTTTCTGCTATTAAAAATCAACCGTTTAAAACTCTAATCTTGTGTTTGATTTAAATCCACTTCCCCACTTCCCACCATCATCACCTGTCAGGCTTGTGGCTCATGGCACCTAAAGTGACCAAAGTGACCAACATAAAGTGACCAGGGCATGTGATGGGGCCTTACTCCAGTTCCTTGGAAGGTGTGGTCAGTTCCCTCACCAAGCCTAACTTCTGTGACCACAGGGAGGCAGAGGGGAGAGGGAACCATCAGCTCTTGGCTTAACAACTCATGAAAGCCCCTTTGAACATGGGCTACACTTAGTAACTCACTTTGAACAAAATATGGCAAGAGTACCGATCACTGATGGTCATGACCTGAGACTAGGTCATAGAAGGTATAGCAGCTTCCTCCTTGCTCTCTCTCTTGAATCACTCACTAAGGGGGAAGCCAGCTACATGTCACGAGGACACTTTCAAGAGGCCTTGGCCACGCATAGTGGCTCACACCTGTAATCCCAGCACTTTGGGAGGCCAAGGCAGGAGGATCACTTGAGGTCAGGAGTTTGAGACCAGCCTGGCCAACATGGTGAAACCCCTTCTCTACTAAAAATACAAAAAAAATTAGCTGGGCATGCTGGAGGGGCGCCTGTAATCCCAGCTACTGGGGAGGCTGAGGCAGGAGAATCGCTTGAACCCAGGAGGCAGAGGCTGCAGTGAGCTGAGATTCCACCACTGCACTCCAGCCTGGGCAACAGAGTGAGACTCCATCTCAGAAAAAAATTAAAATAAAAATAAAATACAAAAATACAGAAAAAAAAAAATAGGCGTGCTGGCACCTGCCTATAATCCCAGCTACTTGGAAGG